CTCAAAATAGTCTCTGAAAGAAGTGGACGTGTTCGTCTCTTCATAGCTTTGATACAAAAAGAATATTAAATGCTCCCTGATATCAGCCACCAGTTGCATTTTCCAACCTGTGGTTGAGCTTTGCAAGAGCTAACTTTCTGGCACTGTTTCAAGTGTAAAATAATTTTCCCCTGTTTTTTAGGATTATTAACATTTTCATGGTTTCTCTCCTACAGAGGAGAACAAGTCTGCCCCACTGCTTAAGGGTGGTGTTCTATATGGGCTGGGGTTTTACCAGAGCTGGTGCCAGGGTGAGATCAAAGCAGCAGGAGCAGCCGGGTGGTCCTTCCTTCTGAGCACGCCGGTGGGAAATGTTTTCAAGCCAATGTTTCAGTGATGTTTTAGACCCTGCGTGGGGAGATGATGCTGCAGCATCTGAGGGGACTCCCAGCTGTGCTGAGGGGACTTAACATCACCTTGCAAAGACTGGCAAATATAGGAAGTGTGGATGGGTGTTTTGCTGGTAAAATGTTTTGGTTTGGTAACTAATGTTCATAGAATCATAGAATAGTTTGGGTTGGAAGGGACCTCTAAAGGTCATCTAGTCCAACCCCCCTGCCGTGGGCAGGGACATCTTCAACTAGATCAGGTTGCTCAGAGCCCCGTCCAACCTGACCTGGAATGTTTCCAGGGATGGGGCATCCACCACCTCTCTGGGCAACCTGTGCCAGTGTCTCACCACCCTCAGCATAAAAAATTTCTTCCTTATATCTAGTCTAAATCTACCCCCCTTTAGTTTAAAGCCATTCCCCCTTGTCCTGTCGCAACAGGCCCTGCTAAAAAGTTTGCCGCCATCTTTTTTATGGTGAGACCCCACCTGGAGTACCGTATCCAGCTCTGGAGCCCTCAGCATAAGAAAGACACAGACCTGTTGGAGTGGGTCCAGAGGAGGGCCATGAAAATGATCAGGGGAATGGAACACCTCTCCTATGAGGAAAGGCTGAGAGAGTTGGGGTTGTTCAGAGAAAAGAGAGGAGAAGAGAGGAGAGGAGAAGAGAGGAGAAGAGAAAAGAGGAGAAGAGAAGGCTTTGGGGAGACCTTATTGCAGCCTATCAGTACTTAAAGGGGGCTTAATATTAATAGATGTATGATCAGCTGGTAAAATCTCTTGCATTCTTAAAATCAGCAATAATTTGTTACGTTGTCGTCATTTGGTGCCACTAGGAGTAGCTGCCCAGGGTTTCTTAGCTGGTGTATGAGATCCAGGGCTTTCACGAAATCCTATTCCATCCCCTGCCAACCAAAACAGGGAATAGGAAGTTTTAGACTCTCAGTTTTCAATAAATTTGGATCAATCAAAGCTGCATTAGGAATATTTTTGCTCCCTGCACCTTCTCCATCCAAGCTGAAGACCGTGTTCAAACTAAGCGACAACTTGGAGGTTGCAGCTGATTCCCCACATCTGTGCCAAGAGCTGCGTACGCTCGTCAGCTCTGATCCTGTCCTGCCTGAGACACGGTTGGTGTACTGATTGCTAAAATCTCTGTGAGTATTCTACAGGGACCAAATCTAAAAAAAGGCATGTCTGCATTGCGCACATTAAACCCCCTGAGAAGTGGGATTTTGGGTCCTGTCTAGCTTTTGCAGTTTTCTGCAGTCTAGAGGCTGTATAATTACATTTTATAGAATCCACCCCGTTATTCCTTTCTGGCATGGGATGCTCCTGGATTGATAGAAAATAATTAAAAATCTGAAGATTCTCTCTCATTTAATACAACCTTTCCTGTCTTTTGTCCAGTGTTGAGAGCTTGCTGTGCTTCGGTGGGTTTTTTTTGGCTTCTTAGTTAAACAGGGGAAGAAATGGCAAAGGAAAAGGAAGCCAGCTAAGTAGGCAGCATGTACTTAGCAGAACTTAAAGGTGGCTCAGGCTCCTTGGTTAACAGCCCTGTCTTGGGAGGGCAATACAGCAAATAACTGCATGTTCTTGGTATATTAGTTTCCTATCTTGACGTATGAGTTTGGTGTTATACCACTGCTGGTTTTCCAGCACAGGATGCCTGGTCTTTGGTTCGAAACAAACTGTGAGATAATGATGCCATTTAGGTGCATCACTGATACCAGCTGGATTTACCCTGTCCAGAAATACCTGACATCATCAGGTGCATGCGATCACTTGCTGCCATGCAAAGGTAATTGCTTACTGACCCAGAGAAGACATTTCTTTTTTTTTCATGGAAACGTATTGTGTGCTTTGAACTGCCAAGAAGTATTCAAGAAGACATAAACCCATGAGTTAGTACAGGCTGCACGCCTGGAACATGCAGGCCATCTCAACATATGGAGCAAATCAGCGCAGCTCTGCTGACTTCATTGCAGCTGCATCTATTACCACTCGCTGTAACCCTGCTCCAGATTGTAGAGATGGTTGTCTGTGGACGGTGGATAGAAAAAAACCCACCCTTCTTTCTTCCCTGTTCAGAGCTTTACACTTTATGAACAGAATAAATGTGCTACAAGTGGAGGTGAAATAGTAAATTATTTTTGCTTCTATAAAATTACTGTATTTGGACATATGCTAAGTTCCCTCTCATTCCCCTTAGTTCCTAAATCAAGTAGTTGATTAATGCATGCACTTGGTTACTGGCACTCAAAAATACATCAGTGATTAGTTCAGAGATTGGGATTGGTGTTTTAAAAAAAACCACACATACGTGCACCTGCACAAAAACAAGTCAGGCAGAACTGACTCTGCGTAAAAACAGAGTGGGCAGCACCCATGTACGCCACAGGACTAAGGGAAGAGGAGCTGCTTTTCTGTTTCCATGTGCCAGGAGAAGCAATACTATCAGGCTTATGTATGATGGATCAGAGTGCAGTGGTATTGCTGCAAGCAAAAGTCATGAATTTTAATCAACTTTACTGGCTGCCTTGAAATTTGAGTTGAAAGATAAATGTGAAAAACAGGCAGCCCATATTGTTTCTGGAACAAAACTGCCCCTTTTCTGTTGATTAAAAGAATTTTTCTTTTAACTTGATAATCAAAAATACTTCCATCTTAGTTCTGGAATTTTTTTTAGGCTAACGCTTCAGGTCCTGCCAGCCCTGAGCCAAGTGTCACCTCATGGCCACCCAGACGTCTGACCTTGGCTGCAGAGACTTTCCAGCCAGTGGGGCTCGTTGGCTGTCTGCTTTCAGCCGTTTTGGAAAAGATGCTTTTAGGGCTTTATTTAAATATTCTTAAATTATTTTTTTTTTTTTTTTAAAAGGAAAAAGAAAGACTTGCTTGGTGAAAACTGCTGAGTGGACTGTCCAGGGAATTGGAGTCCAGTTTATATTCAATGGGAAATTTGGCACAGCCAACATACTTGTCCTTCCCCTCTGTTGCTCCAGGGCTGCTTTTAAGGTTATGTAGTTACCGTGTTCCTTTGGGCATCAGTCTTCCTAATTAAATATAAGTGATTTGAATGCCAACATTGTCTAGGGGGGACATCTAAGCTTTGGGAAGAGGTGGACTGAAACTACCAGCTCACGTCCCTGGACAGAAACGCGCATCCATGGTGTTATTTCCAGCCACTGCACAGGCTGGTCCAGATTACTTGGAGTAACTGAGAGTGCTTTCCTCACTCCTCTGTACAGAAGTTTGCTTCAGGGCTTATCATAGCTGCTTTTCCTGTTTTGCCATTAAGTCACCTCTGTACAGGAATAACTTTGAAGGGTTGTATTATTTAAGGCCAAACAACTTTTAAGAAAGGGAAGGGGAAAATTAGCCTACAAGCACCAGGGAGGGGAAAAAAAGGGGGGAAGACTCTTGAGTCGCTCCTCCTCTCTCAACCACAAGTGCTGTGTTATTTTCTCTTAGGATCTTCTATGGTTCAACTCCACACCTAGTTTCTCATCTCCTCTGATAGCTGTAGGTTCACCAACTGCTTTGTATTAGTCAATAGTTCATTGCAGCTGCAGCAGAGGCTTATTTGATGCTCTGGGAAATTCTTGCCGCTTTTACTAGTGAGAAAGGCAATATATTTTGGGGGCCTAAATTAGTGTGAAAGGGCACATACAAACCTGCTAAGTACAAATTCCAGCTTGTTTGTACTCTCAGTTGGTTACACCCTTGGCTCAGAACCCAAATATTTTAAGAATTTGGGTTGAGGTGTATCCTTTCCCAAAAGAGGCATGAAGTTAGATTCCCCTTTTGCATCAACGGGTGCAGTTTCTGTAAGGACACTGAGTATTTGCTTGAAGCAGAAATGTCAATTCCTTCAAGGCATGTCCAGAGACTTTGGGAGGGGAGGCGATGCTTTGCTCTGGTACAAGAACTTGGTGGCTGCTTCTTGCACAGCTGAGATGACTTGGCTCTTGCTTTGACTGGAATACGCTTGCTGTAAAGGAAACCCACCTTATTTCCATGTCCCTTTACGGGAGCCGAGATGCCTTATAGTGCCACGCTTTGCTGTACAGAGGCCATTGGCGCTATGCCTGCTTACCCCCGTGGCTGATTTTTTTTTCCCTTGGGCCTTCAAAGCATGTACATATGCCGAAGCAGAAGATTAGTTTCACTAACGAGGCTCATTTCAGATGCAAATGCTCTATGGGCTGCTGCACAAATGAAGCCTGCCTGATTTTTAAATTTTTTTTAAAATTATTTATTTATTTTAATGCCCCACTGGAAACAGTCTCTGCTTTGCTTTGCTTGCTCCACCTTTCCATGTTGCTGTGCTGTGGGTCCAGAGGTCAGGGTGGTGGGAACCTGTTTGGTGGCATTTACCAGTTGTTGTATTACACTGCGGTGGGATCAGCCTGGATGGCTGGTAGGGCTGTTATTATTCCTGGTATTATCTCCCTCTAATACTGAAGGAAGAGAGCATTTGCTGATGCCACGAGGTGTCCTAACATATCCACACACCAGGTAATCAGCTGCCTGACATGAACACCACGGGGCGCAGCGTGGTGGGGTGCTGGGGTGAGATGCGGGCGCCGTGGAGCGAGCAGTCGGTAATCCCTGCGCATCCCTTCCCTTGCAGTTACCTGGCCGAGCAGTGCTGGAATGGCGGCTTCGTCTACCTGATCATGTTGCGCCGTATCAAGCGCAAGGCCCCTCTTCCTCCCTCCAACGGCAACAACAGCAACAGCTGCGACCCCAAAGCCAAGCCCAGCCCCGAACCCAGTGACAGAGCCGCTCAAAATGGGAAAAGGACCAGAAAGTTTGGGGTCATCACCAGAACACCGGGCAGCAAGGATGGCAAAGAAAAGCTGGGCTCAGAACACGGGAACGGGCACTGTACCCCAATGGAGGTGGAGGTTGCTCAGCCGGAGACCTCCGAAGCAGAAAGCAATGGGGAAGAGCAGTTTCGGGGCACCGGGGGACAGTACCGGTGCCGGCTCTCAGATGGTGGCGTGCCAGACATTGGTGACCAGTCTGCCCAGGTACGTTTGCATTGGGTTTTTCTACAGAAGGAAGCAGCAGGTGTGCAAGCAAATTAAGGGAATTTCTCAGGTGGTTTCCCTGGTTTCAGTGCTCTGTCCTCAGGCTGAGCCTTTGGGTGACAACCCAAGCTGTTGGGGCACCGAGCTGTGGGTTGGGGTCCAAAACAGGGAGGCAGGAGGATTAGAGAGTTAAATAATAATTGTGAGAAACCTCTGTCATGCTCCATCTGTGATGGAGGGGAAGGTCCTTGTATCTCTGATCTGTCAGGGTTGGCCTCAGGATTTCTTTTGTTGAGGCAACTGATGACTTTACGAAACCGAGGCAGGAGGTGTCAGTGGAAGTTGGTCGTTTTGTCCTTTGGGGCTTCATGTTTAGCTCTGTCTGAGCTTGATGGCACCTTAAAGCTCATGTTAACATTGGAATTGAAGCTTCCCTTTTTGATGCACCAGACCACGGTGCATTTATTTGTGTTACGAAACTTGTTTGGCCAGTGTTTGGGGACCACATGGAAGTTATTGTGAATTTTGCTCCGAGTTGATGAGGTGGACGATTTGTTAATGTTTGGAACGACAGTGGGATTGGGGCTTTCATTGCTTCTCTCTTAATCCTAATGGAGATCTTGGGGTTTGTTGCCTGGCTAGAATTGCAGCGTTGCTGGATGGAGAAAAATAACCCGAGCCTTGATCAGGTTTCAGTTTGCATCTATCACCAGAAGAGCTGTCTGCCAATCTTTCCAGAGACACTGATCGTATAAACAGATGAACGCCGCTTTGTTGGGCTTGGGGCTTGCTGCAGCAGCTGGTTTTGGTTTTAAGACTTCAAAGCTGGTAACAGAGCAGTATGAGTGGACATCTCATCGCTAAATTCTGTTGAGAAAAGCATGGGTTTAAACGTATCCTCTGAATTAGTGCTCCCCAATACTACTGCAGGGTGGTGGTGATGGTGGTTGTGAACTTAAACTAATTTAACTTAAAGTACTTTGGAGGGGCTAAAACCAATTTTTAAAAATGCTTGTGTTAAAGAATTGTAATTGAGAAAACCTGCTCTTCCCATCAGTGAGACATGTTGGATTTCATGGTGCAACTGGAAGGGGAGGATGTTTGTGTGCTGTTCTTGCAAGCCTCATAATTTCAGTCTTTCTGAAAGAAAACATTAAAAGTTTAAAAATGAATAAATAAATCCTTCAGTCTTTTGAAAGCCCTGTTTCATATAAAAACTTCTTGAATCTGTTCTGAAGATGTCTAATTAAACACATGTTATAAATGAAGATGATCAGAGTTTGTTTTGAGGAAATGGAAAGCCAAAAAAAAAAACCCCTAAACCCCCCCCCCAACATATATATATAAAAAGAAACTCCTGTTCCAGAGCCATCTTATGCTAGTGTTACCTTGATGTTTTGAGTTATTTTGGTTGAGAAGTAAATTGTTAAATTCAGAACATGTATGTATCAATGTAAGCAATAAATACATTTTTAATGCAAAACACATATAAGGTGGCTTTGTAAAATGTAAAAGCGTAGTTGAGTCACTGGAAATTTAAGAGCTATAATCTGTTCAGTTGTGGTGTATCTGTCATGGAGCCTGTTGGGAGGCACAGTCGTTTAGTAAAATTGCTTCTCTCTCTCTTTCTTTTAATTTCCCCCTCCCCTTAATATTTTGCTTAGAGATATGACCTCTGTATCTGTCAGTATTAATTACATTTTCCTGACATCTGAATGAGGGGAAATGTGAATAGCTGGAGCCTGAATAGCATGCCTTGCTCATCCTTTGCTTTTTAAAGATGAGGGGGCCTTATAGAAGCCCATCACTTTAGCATCCATGGGGTAGCTGCTGTCAGATTAATGAATGGCTTAATTCAGTTTCTTAGTAAGTATTGAATAGTAACAGTGAATAAAATTTTCAAAATTATTTGAGTCCTGTTTAAATAAATAAATAAATAAATAAAGGCAAGGAATAAAGATACTTGGGAGCCTCAGATATCACTTCCAGCTCCGTTTTCGAAGTGTGGCCTGTCACTCAGGCATGTGTGATCCAGTTGTGTCAGGAGCCTTTTGAAAATGGCATCCAGGACATCGTGTCAGAAGTTGCAGCCTCTTTCCAGGCTCCAAAGCGCAAGCCCAACCTCTCGTAGCTGCAGGATGAGTTATTTCCTCTTGAGCGGGGACAGGGTGCATTGGCAGGGCACCCTCCCCGTGGGCAAAGCAGCTCCATCCCTGCTGCCCACCCTGTGCTCGCCTTCTCCTCCACGCGTTGACTAATGGAATATCCAGGGCTGTCAGCCCTGTGCCTTTGGGGAGCACTATATTTGCTTCGAGAGGACAAGAGCCAGCCTGCGGGCTGGAGGTTGGCTGTGGGTGGCAGGAAAGGCTTCAAGAAGCCGCTTGGGGACCGGGGCGGCTGTGGGAGGCCCTCGCTGGTCCTTCCCCACCGCCCGGGTCCTCCCCACCACTCCTTCCCCCTCCCCTGCCCACAGGACGCAGATTGGAGAATTACTGAAATTGGATTATGGAGTCCAGGAACATCTCTTTTTCTCCCTACAGAAAGTTAGTTTGAAGTCATCGTAGCGAAAACAGGGGAGAAGAGGTTGGGTCGAATCTGGTAACGAAAACAGGGGAGAAGAGGTTGGGTCGAATCTGCATGTCTTCAGCCACTGCTGTATTGAACTCAGCAGCCAGCTCACAGCCGATGCCTTGGGGATGTTGTGCTGGGAGTGCTTTTGAGGCATCTATGTGTCTTTGGCGTCATTTGCTTTCAGGGTACCTCCTCTCCCATGAGCGTGGGGTTGTTCTCCTGTTTTCTCGCTGCATGCTGCTAATAACAGCAATGCTGAGTCGTGAAATGAGAGGCGAGACACATACTGTTTGTGAAGTGAACCTGCCAGGAGATTCCTGTGTTACTGGTTTGTGTGCATGTGTCAGTCCCCTTCTTCAGGTTTGCTTTCATCTCCCAGATCTTGGTCTGTCTCCCCTGTGCACTTGGCATTGCTATCACTATGTATAAACAAATCTACCAGGCTGTATGCTGGTATGTAACCCTCAGTAAATACTGCACCTGTCAATTAGCAGGCAGCATTTAATGTTTACAGGTGGTTAAGTTATGCTGCAATATTTTTAGGATGAACCTAAATGCCCTTTAAAATGTGGGGATTCAAAGCAGCAAGGCTGTATCTGCCTGGCAGGAAGATCTCGAAGGTCTGGAAACCAGACCTGACCTTGGAGAGGACCCAGGCTGGCTGCAGTGGGAGTCGTGGGCAGTGATTTAAGACCAGGCAATCTCTGAGCCGGAGTAATGATCCGTCACATCCTGGGAAGATTGGGGAGCTTAAATACAGAAATCAAAGTTTACTTCTTTTATTCAGCGGCCTGAGACAGGGAGGAGTTTTGTAGGCTGGTAATTATAAAGGCACAGATGAAAGAGGAGTATGGGGAGGGGCTGCTGGAGTCAGCTGAAAAATGATAAAAAAAAGGGAACAGTGAGGTTTCCTCACAATATACCAATTTTGTGGTTTCACTGTGTTTACCGGTAGGACAGAACCTCCTGGTTTTATTCTCAGTTTCTCTATCGTGGTGTTTTTGGAAGAGCTGTGGACCACTCCTTTAGCTGTTCAGCCCTTAAGGAGTGCCCAGCGGTGGGCAGGTACAGCTGGCATGGGCAGGGATCAGAAGTAGGACTGTGAGGGTTGCAAGGACCAGGGTTACGAGTGTGAGGGGTGGGAGTGTAGTTTTCAAAGGGGACTTGAACTGATCCAGGTCTGGCTGGCACAATGAGAGGCTTTCATTGATGAAGCCAGAAGAAGCGTGGCTGGAGATGAAGTGTAGCAGAGCAGACCGGTCACCTTTGCTTCCTCCAGCCCCAGCAGGATGCTCTGAAAAGTCCTTAAAACACCAACCATTAAAAGCAAAAAGAAGACACCTCCAGAATCCCCTTGAGTTCTCTTGCTTCTGTATCAGCGTCCGGATTGTAAGGGATTGAAATCCAGATCCAAATTTAGCAGTCACCGGTGGAAACTGTGTAAAAGAGATTGGGCAGAGTAAAAGTGCTTTAATAGTGAAGGGAGGCAAGTGAGAGGGGCTGGGGCTCTGCATTTGGGCATTTCTCCTCTGGGAGAAATACATGGCATGGAAGGAGCGCAGGGTGTGCAGCAGGTCTCCCGGGCTAGTGGTAGCACCACGGCATGGGGCTGTGGTGGGATGCCTTTCCAGGATGGAAACAAGTCAGCGTCTGGTGGCCCTGTAAGGTGTGTCCGGTGTTTTTCTGAAGTCGGTGTACCATCTATTAAAAGAAGGGAGGGGGGAAGGCAAGGGGGTATTAATGCCTTGCCTCACAGAGGTTTTTGGGAGAGGTCTGTGTTACAGTAGTGCTTCGAGACCTTGGCTCCATGTTGTTAACCCCAGTTACTCTGCAGTGGGTCGCAGCTGCCAGAGCAGCGTGCCTAGCCAGCTTTGCTCCCTTACGGGCCACCTGAGCCCAGCTTACGTAGACCACAACCTTCTCCAGACTCCTGAGTGTGTACACAGGTGCACACGGATGTGTGTGTAGGTAAAAGACCAGTTGCGCCTTTGCCAGCCGGCACTTGCTTTTGTATCGCTGCAACTGCACCGTGCTTGGTCTTGTTTTATCAGCCACTCTCTTCTTTGTCCAGGCCCGTATTGCTTTCTTATTAAGATGGTTTGTCTCAGGAAGGGCTGAATGCGTTTGAATTGCATTTTGCTTTGTAGTTAGGAAAGGCTGACAACCTTTCTATAGCAATATTTACCAATTAGCATTGGTAAATGCCAGCCTTACCTTGCGTTTTGGTTAATGGAAAATGTTCCTTATCTTGCCAAGCAGAAGAGGAAGGCTAATGGCAGGTTACAGGAATCGAAACATGAGACTTGAAATAATGTACTGGCTTTGAGCATTTTCCTATTTTTTTTAAACGTGATGGATAAAAAAAAATTCACATCCACTTGCTATACCAAAATGAAAACCTTGCTGTGAGCAAGGTACTTACAAGGGTA